ATGACAGATTTCTTTGTATCCTCCAGGTGGCCTTGCTGAGCTGGTTTCATAGTGTGCACTTAATGAATGTTTGGACATTATTCACCCAGTGACTGCTCAGGAAATATCAGTGAGTGGAAAGAGTACAGTTTGTCCCTCTCTGATGATGATAATTGTAGAATTATGCACTGGAATATCACTAAACAAATAGCATGTTTTTGGGTGACACACAGGTGATAAGAGAAACTGGTATTTTTAAGAGCTTATCATTCAACGTGATCTTGACAAGCTAGACATACTGATTTCTTAAACAAAACAATGAACAGTATACTTACAGAATGAATAACATAAATACAGGGTAGATTACAATTAGAAAGGTATTGGTGAGGCCACAAATACCTATGTCTTATAGCAAATAATGAACTAAAGGTGTCCCAGATGTTTTCAAATTAGCTAAACTTCTGGCATGACAGATCTTCATTCATTCATTTCAATAACTTAATTGAGTGCCTACTATGTGTAAAGTATCATGCTAAGCATGCTGGGGATGCAGGAAGAGATTAGCAGTGTCTCTTTCCTCAAAGAGCTCAAGTTTTAAGGGAGAAGACAAAGAAGTACACAAACTACTCAATAGCAGAGAGAAAAGTAATTCAACAGCTGAGTCATCAGTCAGTGAAGATAATGACCATAAAGGACATCTTTGTAGCCCACCAGGACAGCTGTGTTCAACAGATGGCAGAGGGCCAGAACCCAAGAGTGGTTGGGCAGAAACATCAACACTGATGGGTACAGACTGATGGCCAGACGCTGCTTTGCCTTTAATTTTTCAGGGCCATGTAAGGTCCTGGCTTAGGGTACAATTGTAGGGTATGATTAAGGGGAAGAAAAGTCCCAGTAATGACTGATACCAGTTTTGCCAGCCCTTGCTAAGGAGAGGTCTCAGCAAAATTTAATATCATTTAAGCAATTTAAGAAAATTCTTTTCTTTCTTTCCTTCCTTCCTTCTTTAACCAACCTTCCTTCCTTCCTTCCTTCCATATATACACGAATATAAAATTTTTATTCTTGTGAGACAGGGTCTTGCTCTGTTGCCCGGGCTAGAGTGCAGTGGCACCATTATAGCTCATTGCAACCTCAAACTCCTGGACTTAAGTGAGCCTCCTGCCTAACTTGATTAGTTGGGACTACAGGCAAGCACCACAGTGCCTGGCTAATTTTTCTATTTTTTTGTAGAGAGGAGGTCTTGCTATGTTGCTCAGGCTGATCTTGAACTCTTGGTCTCAAGCATTCCTTCTGCCTCAGTCTCCCAAAGTGCTGGGATTACAAGTATGAGCCACTGCCCTTGGCTGAAAGATGACATTTCTTGTTCTCCAGTGTCACAGAGCAATTTAAAACAGTTTAAAAATTCTTAAATTATTTTGAAAATTTGCATAGAGAACACACAGACCCTCAAGATTATGTTTGTAGATTCTTGGGGTAGGGGGGAGGTCTTTGACCTGTGGGAAGTGAGAATGCCCTTGGAATTGTGCGACATGACAGTCTTGCTTGCTACCTTGAGGAAAGCCAGCCTGAGGACAAAGTAAACGTAGAGGAGGGCAGGAACAAGGGAACACGGGGAAATGAACTGAAGCTTTAATCAAAACAAGCCTAAAGCTCACACAGACTTCATACCAGACAGACCTTCTTGCAGCATCATCACCCACCACATTAGAAAGTTCACAGGAAAGGACCCAGATTGACCTAGCCTGGGTCACATGCCCACTTCTGTGTCTGGAGGAGTAAACTACCATGATTCACAGCCACCAGTAGGGGAAGAACAGCTTCCCCAAAGCAGGAAGAAATAGTGTTAGCCTGACAAAATCTACAGAGGGTAAACATCTTGGACCTAGATATCTAGATAGACACTTAGATATCTATAGTCAAGCTGTCATGTACAATGTTAACCCTAGAGAAGACATCAATAAACATTCTCTAAATCAAATTGAATATGCTGGTCCGCCTAATGCTCTGCAGTGATGTGGCATTTCCAGGGTGGGTTTGGGCAACTGACAAAAAATGCCGATGTGGTTTACTCAGAGCACTGTTAACAGGGATATTTAGAAAGGAGTCTACTGATAACCACGTCAAGAAAGAAGGAACAATGGCAACCAGCACCCATGGTACCCCGGCTCTATAAATATACTGAATGTCCAGTCTTTTGAGCAAAATGCCTTGATTGAATAGTAATCAGTTACTACTACCGGAATCTGATCTCTAAATGACATATTGTTGCACAAAATGTGAAAATAATGCATAAAAGAAAAAATCTGATTCTTCTTGAAGTAGTGTCAATATATCAAAATCCTTGAGTGGTTCAAGAGTGGTGCACAAACCCACCAGCTAGAAAGTCCCAACATTATATGTAGTAGGTAGTGCAGAAAAACTGGGGAAGTGAAAATAAGACAAAAAAAATTTTTTTTTCAAATTCCCATCGATTAACAAAATTCCCCTAAGGAAATTTAGGGACTTTAAAATTCCTAACTCTAGTTTCTCTTTTTTTTTTTTTTTTGAGACAGAATCTCACTCTTTTTGCCTGGGCTAGAGTGCCATGGCGTCAGCCTAGCTCACAGCAACCTCAAACTCCTGAGCTTAAGTGATCCTCCTGCCTCAGCCTCCCGAGTAGCTGGGACTACAGGCATGCGCCACCATGCCCGGCTAATTTTTTCTATATATTTTTAGTTGTCTGATTAATTTCTTTCTATTTTTAGTAGAGACAGGGTCTTGCTCTTGCTCAGGCTGGTTTCGAACTCCTGAGCTCAAACAATCCGCCCACCTGGGCCTCCCAGAGTGCTAGGATTATAGGCGTGAGCCATCCCTCTAGTTTCTCTTTTGAATTTACTTTCTTTACCGTATCAACATACTCTTTATTCATACAGAAAGAGAATAACAGTAGTTACACGCAGATGGTAGGACTGAAAGTTATTTTAATAAGAAAACATTTTTAAAAAGAAAGAAGATTCCACTGGTCTTTGAAGGTTTTTCCCCCCTTCTCTTCCAGGAATGAGGATAAAGGTATAGAACTGAGATGTCCACACATGTTCAGACCGTGGCTGAAGCCAAGTACAGAAGCTTGCCCAAAGGCTGGTGTGGGCAAGGAGGTTCAGCCTGTGCTGAGGGCAGAATCTTTCCTCATTAGGAGGCAGACACTGTGATTTTGACCTCGTTAAAGCTTTGTTCCCATCAAGTGGGCTCTAGGAATTAGACATTCAGTAAGCAGCAGCAGCAGCAGCCCTCTGGGTACTGTATGATCAATAAGTGTTGAGTTAATGATGATGCATTTCATCTTCCATCCACATAGCAAGTGAAGGTCAATCCTAGGGCCAACTAAGCCTTCTGCCACAATAGGACTGACAATGGAATATCAGTGGTATTGTATTATAATAATACATGAATTCACAAGGCACCCAAGATGTGTCTCAGAAAAGCCTGCTGTCTTGTTCAACTAATCGTCCAAGTTTTTTCTTATTCCCCTAATGGTTGAGTCCACTGGTTCCCTTAATAATCTTGAATCTTCCAGAAGGTATTTCCTTATATCTAAGGTAAATCCCTGGGCCAGTGGTGCTCAAATATTTTGGTCTCAAGATCCCCTTATTTCCTTAAAAATTGAGGACCCCAAAGGGCTTTTGTTCATGTGGGTTTTATCTGTCAGTATTTGACATATTAGAAATTAAAACTGTGAAGAGAGAAGAGATGAGACACAGAGAGCCCTGGCAGGATGGAGCTGCTGGTCCCACACCTTAGCACTGCGTTTTCACATTACGTCAATCAGTAAACGCCGCTTTCATGAGAGCTTATCTGGTTGCGTTTCTGCCACTAGCGAACGAGAGAACTGAAAAATACATCCACAAAATAAAGAACTAGTATAAGACAATAAATAACAAAGGATTAAGTTGAGTAGAATAGAATGCTGTTGCCTCCCTTCCTTTGTCACCCGTTAAGTGAGAGCAGACTGAAAAATAACGAATATAACCATCACCACTAACTTTATGGGTTTCAAAGTGCTTTCACATTTGGTATCTCATTCAAGTTTCACTACAACCCAATGACGTAGCTTGTTTTAGATCCATTTTACAGATGAGAAGACTGAAAGGCACAGCGCCTGCGTCACAGCGGTTAAGCAGCAGAGCCAAGACTAAATCCAAATTTTATTCTAAGTTCCCCTGGCCATAGTTCCCGCCTCATATGATGCTTGCAATTTTATAGGGCTCAGACCTGTAGCACAAGACTTCCCAGATTTTTTATCCATTCTTCTGCGGGGAGAGAATCTGTGTAGCACATGGTCTAAATACCCATCGTATTTGGCCCTGGTCTGTGTGCCGTGAAGAAAGGGGCACGAGTGGGGTTCAAGTTAGCACCGTAATCACTCTTTTCCAGCTCTGTGACTGAGGGGCTGCAGGAGGGGGCTTAGAGGTGGTGCTGGGCAGGCACTGAGAAGCTGGGTAATACACCCTGCAGATAATCCGCAGGCTGCGCCACAGCAGCGCCAAAGAAAGAAAGCATCTCCGCTCCGACCTGGCGGAAGAGATGCGGGAACTACGGGACTCCGACTGTGAGGTCCTTGATGTGAAAGGAGCCCGCACACAAAGAAACGAGGAAGTTAAGTTCCGGAGGCGCACTAACAGAGTTCGAAACGGGCCCTCCCTTTCCAGCTTGGGTGGAAACACCTCATCCACCCGGTCATCCCAGCCAGAACAGATCTTTTATCCGCTGGCGCCGCCTGGACAGTCCGCGCCGGGCACGCCCGTGTCTCCCCGGAGGAACTACAAGTCCCATGAAGCCCCGGGGCGCGGGCGGTGATGACGATTACCCCGAGGATTGGCTGCACAGGGAGGGGCGCGCGGGCCGTCTCCTAGAGGAGGGGCGGGGCAAGGGGCGGGGCGAGTGGCGGCGGATTGGCGGGCACGCCCCCTCGCCCGCGGCCCCCTCCCCGCCTCTCTCTGCCGCCTCCTCTCGCTCCCCGGTCAGAGGGCCGGAGCGAGAAGATGGCGAAGACGTACGATTATCTGTTCAAGCTGCTGCTGATCGGCGACTCGGGGGTGGGCAAGACCTGCCTCCTGTTCCGATTCTCAGAGGACGCCTTCAACACCACCTTCATCTCAACCATCGGTGAGGGAGGGGCGACGGCCCGGGACGGGGGGCGAGAATTGGGGGGCGGGTACGAGGGAACCAGGGAGAGGGCGGGGGCGTTTGGGAGCCCGGGAGAGGAGACCCCGGGGACTGCGGGGCGGCTGGGGCAGTGAGAGAGGGCGAAGGCGTGAGGGAGAGGGGCGGGCAGGGACGTGAGGCTGAGGGTGAAGGGGGAACTTGGGGGCAAGGGAACGGGAAGGGGAACAGAGGAACAAGGACTAGGGGTATTGGAAAACGAGAGGGTTCGGGGGCTAACAGGGAGGGGTCTCGAGGGACAAAGTGAGGGGGACACAGGAAATCTCATGGAGAGAGAGAAGAGGCTAGTGGATATGAAACTGGATTAAAAGGCAGGAAAGAGGAAGGAAATGTGAAGGGGGAAACGAAGGGTTGGGGGAATGAGAGGGACATGAAGTAAAGGGACAGAGGACACAAGGGACGAGAGAGGCGAGAACCAGGCGATCGGGTAACTGAGGGGAATGAGTGATCAGGAGGTAAGGAAAGAGGGGACACTGGCCACAAGAGGTCTGGACAGAGATGCCGAAGCAGGGGCAGAAGAAAATTGCAGGTGGGAGAAGAGTTCAGAGGACCAGAGGGCGGAACGAGGATACTTGGTGGAGAAAGTAAAGAAGAGCTGGGTGTGAGATAGAAAGGGAAAGAGGAAGCAGCGTATGTAGTAAAGGGAGGTTGAGCGGAGAAGACAGAGAAGATGGAAAAGGGAGAGGAAATGGAAAGTAGTGGGGTGAAGGACTTGCTTCAGTAACTGGGAGCACTGGTTACCATTTCTTCCTTACTTCCTCTGGATCAAATGCAGAAGAAGCAAAAAGTGACTAATAATGGAATTATGTCTATGTATTGTTAATTTGTTCCATGAGCGTTAATGCATGTTAAGAGAATTGGTGACTTTTGGGAATGATGTGGTCAGGAAAATACAGTTTACTCCTTTACTACCGTCTCCTGAGAAGCAACACCTCAATATTTTAAGTTTTGGGGCTTGAATGTTTAATAACTTAGCCAAGAAACTGATATTACATCCTTCCTGCATCCCTGTATATTTTGCTTTGGTTCTAATTACTACTTGTTAAATGAATCACAACATGTGATATATCTCCCAATTACTTCCAACTGATTCAGGAGTTTTTTCTAATCTGGGCTAGGAGCTGTCCTTCCTACTTTTGTACTGGAAGACATTGTGTTCAGGTAACAAGATCTCTAACTTACCATAAACTGAAGAGCCAAAGTTGATTTTAAGCTACCTTATAAGTGACCTTAACATCATTTCCCTTGTTAAATAGTTGCAGTTAATTAAGTACCTTAAGAATTTCAGCTTTTGGTTGTCCAGGTGATGTTTCTGGTTGCTAATAGTAGCTTATTTAGCCATCTTTCAAATGGTTCTTACAACAGATTTTACCATGACTTTCTGGGTTGGGAAATAATAGGGAGCTAATGCTTTGGTACCAAGTGTGTTTAAATGTTTGTGTATTTCAAGGATAATTTATTTTTTTGTAAAAAAAATGAATATTTGAGTATAGAGCATGCTTTAAGTATTAGAAAAGGTTGTGGTTTGTTTGTTCGTTCTGGCCTCTTTCATACAGATTGGATGATCTAAAACCTCCTGGGTGTTATGATGTCTGAGCTTAGGGAAGTTTGAGTTGCAAGTTCTTGGCAGTCTGTCTTGAGTGGGACTTTTTCTTTTCTGAGGAAGCAGATTTTAAATGTCATCTCTCAAGTGTATCCCTAAAAGATTTGGTGGGAGCTGGTACAGCAACTACAGGGCATTAATTTTTGACACTGATACTAACTTCAAAACCTCGACTAACTCTTTGTTGTTGAATGCATACTGTAGTGCAGATGGTAAAGGATGATGTCTAACAAGTTGAGTGCGTGGCCTTTTGTCCATTCTATACGTGACCCTCCCAGAAAGTATCTCCTGCCTTGAAAGTGAGTGAGTCTCTCTCTTGCTGTCTCTCTTAAGCTCCTTGAATGACTTTTGCTTGTTTGTACTTTTTTATTAGTTTTCTCTTTTTCCCTTAATTTTTGTCCCACATTTTCATGTAAGGGTTTCTGCTTCCTTTTAAAATAGTAGCTCTTAAAAATCACTTTTCGGCTGGGTGCGGTGGCTCA